AAAAAAAAAAAAAAAAAAAAAAAAAAAGTTAAGGCACTTGCCCAAGGTCACACAACTAACCAATGGTGATGGTCAGCATTTGGCCCCAGGTGAGTATGGCAAGAAGTGGCCATGGCTTAGCAATAAGCCACCCAGAAAAGGTGGCCTGGCAGGGCTCAGAGGGCACAGTGATCTAGACAGGAGTTTTAGGACTATCAGGGCACTCACAGGTGCCCTTACTACTGCCTTTCTTCCACAGGATCATGCCTACTGGCTGCTTCTGCTTAATTCTCCCTCCAAACTTGATGTAAAAGCCCTGTCACAGGGCGCTCCTGCCCTCTAACACAGCTCAGTCTCCACTGAACTAGCCCACCCAGGTGTGGTCCTGGATGACACAGTGGCTCCCATAATCCACTTGGGCCAGTTTCTCCTTGTCCACTCCCCCCCATACCATGGCCTCTGCTTAGCTCAGGCTCCCTTCACTTCTGAATCAGCCCCCCAGCTGATTTCCTATTTCCAGTCTTGCTCCTCAAGTCTTCTCTGGACTCCACAGCCACAAGAATTCCCTAAAAATCAAAGCTTCATTTATTTTCAAACCAGACATACCTCTCTCCATGCATTTATATACAAATATTCTGGAAGAATGGGCACCAAATGGTTAACAGAAATAATTTGGGGCTGATTAACTCATTCATTCAACAAAGACTTGTTGTTGGCTCCCACTCCTTGCCAGGATTCCAGGGGCATCACAATGATGCCCCTGCCCTATGGAGCTTTCGTTCTGGAGGAAAATGCAGGAGCAAGAACACTGACAGAGAGACAGGGAAAGGGCCAGTGACAATCCATGGTAAGACCAGCACAGAAGATAAGCAGGTGGTTTTGACCGTGGGAAGCTGAAGGAGAGTCACTTTTGATGCCTCTCTGGGGAGGCTGTAGGGTAGCTGAGACCTAAAGGATGAGAAGGGGTCACCTAGGGGTGCTGTGGGAGGAAGGAGGCTTCAAACTGAGAGAGCACCATGTGCAAAGCCATAGGCTCCATACCAGACCCCAGATGGACAAGATCTGCACAAGGCTACTGTGCATGGACAGTGACCAGAAGAGATTCAGTAAGTCCCCTGCAAGCTCAGGGGCACAATGGAAGTGGCTTCAATTAGGTGATAGCAGCAGTGAGGGAAGAGGAGGAAAGGGGGAGGTACTGTGGAGGTTAGTACACACTCAGTGTTGCCCCCCCACTGCCACCCCCACTCTCCCACAAGTGTCACCGATGGCTCCACCTACCCACAGAACTCAGGTGACACAAGCTACAGGGAAGACCACAGTGCCTCAGAGGCTACTGCTCACTCCGGATAAAGAGTCTGGATTGGCAGTGCTAGACCCTATCTCAAGAGGTCATCTCCAAGAACAGAAAACAACCCATGATGCCACCTCCTGGACGGGTCATTGTACTGCATCCAGTGCAGGAAGGAAGAGAAGGGAGGGAAGGGAGGGAGGGAGAAGGAGGAGAGGAGGGAGGGGAGGAGGGAGGAATGAGCTTGGTGGGAAATTAGATAGATAGATAGATAGATAGATAGATAGATAGATAGATAGATAGATAGATAGACAGACAGACAGACAGATAGAGATATTCTTCAACCACCCCCAAATTATGTATCTTTAATCCCTCTGTCTCCACCTGCTGGCCAACTCCAGGCCACCATCACATGCTGAACTATTGCAGTGGCCTCCTCACTGGTGTCCCCACCACTACTCCTCCTAGGTACTTGCAAGACCCGCCAGACCACACCATTCTTTTGCTCAAAACCATTCTCGAATGTTGCCTCTATCTGCTTCCAAATAATGGTAAGAAGGTACTCTGAGACATCTGAGACAATATTAACTCGGACTAGGCACTGAGTGATTAAAAAATAATTACAGTTTTCTTTTCTATTTTTGACATTTGAAATTTTTCATAATAAAAATATTACTTAAGAAAACAACCCCAGGAAGAAAGGAGTAATGCAAAGCCTCAAGGACAAGGACTGTCTGAAACTCAAGGGACCACTGTGGCTCGAGTGAGAAGGAGCAGGGGCAGCCAAGAAGACCCTCACGCCACGGTAAGGAGACCCTGACATCCTCTAGCGATGAGGACCAAATAAAACAACACGCTGAGTATAACATATCACAGACAAGGCAGAGACACAGCATCAGCAAAGCAGCTCCAGACAAAGTTCTGCCACATCTCAGATGTCCTCCAGAGCCCCTCCTCCACCTGTGGATGGTCCCAGGGCCAGGATGGGGCTAGAAACGAGCAAAGCACTTTGAGATAAAAGCCCTGATCAAAGGCTTGAAGACAGTTCTTCCCCTTCCTGAGGTTCAAGTTCCCATCTGTAAAACAAAGAGCTGGACTCAACCAAATGCTCCCCAATACAAGCTTCCAATTTCTTGTTGCTCTCCAAAAACACCTACCTGGGGCACAGCTCATGGTTGGGCCTGCTCAGGAGCAAAGTACCCCAGGCCCCAAGGCTCAAGGCAGAGGTCTGGCACAGGGGAGGATGCAAACTGCAGGGGAATGTGGCTAACAGGAACCTCCAGAGAAAATAACAGGGGAGGCTTTTGCTTACATCATGAGGTTATGTTTTAATTTCTACATGGACAGGCATTCAATGTGCACTGTGCATTTTCAAGTTAACTTTATTGGTACATTTTAGGTATACACTGTGATCACAATCATCATGGGGAATTTGTACCTGTACATGATATATCTTAGTTCTTGATCTTTCCCATTCCCCTTCCCTGCCTTCCACCCCTCCACCCCTCCCTAATTACAAAAGCTTTGTTTCCATTTTTTGCTTCTTTTCTCATATTTTTTCTTTCCCTTCTTCCCCTTCCCCCACTTCCCCTTTGAATCTTTGCTTCCTATTTCATATTATCTATTACACATTTTGGTCCTCATTTACACTTTCAGTTTCTCACACCAGAGACAGTTCAGTATTTACACGTGTGTCTTATTTATTTCACTGAAGAGTATGGCCTCAATGTGCATCCATTTAGCTACAAATGTCTCTAGTTTGTCACTGTTTATGGCCAAGTAGTACTCCATTTTATTTTTTAAAAACACAGATCTTTAACCAGTCACCAGTTGACAGAAATTTAAGTTATTTCCAAGATTTAGCTATTACAAACTATAAACCACTATAAACATGGGTGTGCATATATATCACTGTGGTATGATGCTTTTAATTCTTTTGGGAATATACCCAGTAGGGGAATAGCTGGGTCCAATGGGACTTCTAATTCTAGTTTTTTGATGAATCTCCACACTGATTTCCACAGTGGTTGCACCAGGCTACACTCCCACCAACAGTGGAGAAGGGTTGCTTTTTTCCCCACAGACCAATCAGCATTTGTTATTGGTTTCTTGATAGCAGCCATTCTTTCTGGAGGGAGGTGGAATCTCTCAGTGTTGTTTCATCTGCATTTCTCGAATGACCAGTGAAATTGAACGTTTTTTCATGTATTTGCTGTTTCTACTTCTTTGTCTGAGAAATAGCTGTTCATTTCAGATGCCCATTTTTGGACTGGGTCTTTAAATTTGGGGGATCTAATTTTTTTAAGTTCTTTATATAATCTACATAGTAAACCTCTGTCTGAGGAACAGCTGGTAAAAAAAAATTTCCCACATTGTGGGTTGCCTCTTAGCTCTCTTGGTGGTTTCTCTTGCAGTGGAGAAGCTTTTATGAGATCTCAGTTGTTGATTCTTTGTGCTAGTTCCTGTGTGACTGAGATTTAGTTCATAAAATCTTTTCCTATGCCAATGTCTTCAAGAGTATAGCCTATCTTCAAGCAGGTTTAGTGTTTCTGTTTTAATACTTAGATCTCTGATCCATTTCAATTTTAGTTTAGTGCACAGTGAGAGATATAGGTCTACCGTTAATCTTTGGCAATTTGAAACCCAATTCTTCCAGCACCACTTATTAAAGAGGCTCTCTTTTCTCCAGTGAGTGTGTTTGGCTTCACTGTCAAAGATATGTCTGGAGTATGTCTAGAGTTGTTTCTGCATCTTTTAATCTGTTCCATTGATCCTCCAGTCTGTTTCTTTGCCAGTACCATGCTGTTTTTATCGTGGTAGCTTTGTAGTCTAATAGGGATTGTGACACCCTCTGCCTTGTCTTTGTCGCCTAGAATTGCTTTTTCTAGTCTAGGTCTCTGATTCCAAATGAATTTTTTTATTTTCTCTCATTCTGTGAAATACGCTATTGGAATTTCAATCAGGATCACATTCAATCTAGATAGTAGTTTTGGAAGTATATCAGCAGTGTTTCCACTGTATTGGTTCCTCCCACCCAAGAACAAATGGTGCCTT